CCGTTTTTACTTGTCGAGTTAGGCGTCTACTCGACGAGTTCTCTTTTCAAACTGATGATCAAGTCCTTCATCCTACTTGCCGAGTTGTATGAACAACTCGCCGAGTTCATCTTCATCCGATGAACAAGTTATACTGTGACTCGCCGAGTTGTATGAACAACTCGCCGAGTCTGATCTTGATCTGCCGAGTCTGGGCATCGACTCGCCGAGTTCCACTATGGGTGAGTTTTGGCTGCCAACTCACCGAGTCCCTCCTGGACTCACCACATGACTCGACATAACAAAAAGGGGACAAACCCGGAGACTCGCGACTGGACTCACCGAGTCAGATGAGCGACTCGCCGAGTCCGCTCCATGCAAGAGCTAAAAATGCGATTTTGCTCAAATCCAATCCATGTCATTCGTAGATCTGGGCTCCTAGAGCATGAATAACACGTAAAGTTTCCAACTTTACGTGTAGATATCCATCTATGGGGTCTTTAGGGTTTAAAATGCACCAAAAGAGTAGATCTAAAGTTTATATGCAATATGGGCTCATAAAGGTAGTGGATCTGAGCTCCTGGAGCTCAAATATACTTGGATCTTGAGACCAATCAACTTATTTCGAATTATCATGCACATACAAGCTTGGAAATGAGCCAAGAATGTCTTAAATGAAGCCTTAAGCATAGAAACATGGGGAAAATGGGATATACCTCAAAGAAACTGCTGAGAGAGCACAATGGTGCTTGGATGGCTTCCCTTCTTCTGGATCTACTTCCCTTCTTCTTCAAAACCTTCAAGAACACACAACAAAAGCTTCAACTCTTCAAAGAACAAGCTTAAACGAGGGTTGAGAGCTCTAGGGGGTGAATGGGGGTTGGCCTGGGGCTGAAAGGGGGATTAAATAGGGTGCAAACCCCAGAAACTTAGGGTTTCATCCAACAGCGGTGACTTGCCGAGTCGCCAACTTAAACGCATCCCGGGGTCCCGTCCCTACTCGGCGAGTCGGACCTATGACTCGCCGAGTCCAAGGCTTAAAAAGGAAAATACTCAATTAAGATTTACATACCAGAAACCAGGTGCTACAGATTCGATGAGTGAATGCAAGCGAGCATTGAGTCGAATTTTATCCGTTCCTTTTACCCAAAGTAGGATAAAAGTGATATCTGTGGGCCCCTCGATGATTTAGTGATGACACCCTAAGCGCTTGGCCAAGCCGGGACTAATTTGATGTGTTCAATTGTAGTCTGTTGTCAGTCGTCATAAATCGGAAATTGGGAAACAAAACGTAGACAGAGAGAATGATTTAAATCCATGTCTCAGTCTATACGATATCTAGAATGGACGAATATGCGATCTCTTATCTAAAGGATGCGTATCTGATAAGATCAGAGTTGACAACGGTTTTTGAAAGCTACGATTGCAGATCAGGATCTGAAGTCATACACATAATAGTTATTAGACTTATCCAAGTGGGAGACTGTTGGATTAGTGTCTAAGTCCATAACTATTTTGTTGTGTACTTGACCCGATGGTGCATGGTCCTTTTGGGTTGTCTTCACCAAAGCAACTTGATAGGATGAATTATGGAGAGAGAGAGAGAGGATTAATTATGATTTATTAATATATTATGAGAATAATATATTAAAGGAGAAATCATATTGTTTAATTAATATTAGCCAACAATTAATTAAGAATTAATTTTGTGGCTAAAAGACATTAATTAAATGTAAGGGACTAGAACTGTCAATTGTATGATAGTTGAATATTGGGCTAATGGACTCCATATTAGAGGGGTGGATGAATTCTATGGGGAAACCCATTAGAAATCATCCTAGGCCTCTAAGGAGGGAGTCCATGGGTTGCTTAGGGCCTAAGCAGTCAAATTAGGGTTTCCTTCTTACATAACCCTAATAGTCTCACTATTTAAGGATCCCTAGAGCACCAAAAACGTGGCCAAGAGTTTCCTTAGGGTTTCCACATGTTTTTTTGGTGCCTCATCTCTTCTCATTCTTCATCCTCTTGCTCTTGGTGTTTGTGAGCTATTAGAGGAGTGACACTTGTGACTCTAAGCTTTCTTAAGCTATTACAAGGAGGATTTGAGATTGTTATTGCTACATAACAATCAAGGTATGATCAAAACCCTAATTCATATATTAATATCAATTATCATATGCTAGATCTAGGGTTTAAAGTCTTGGATGAATACATGTACAATAGAGAAAACTAGATCCAAGCATTAGGGTTTGCATGAGCACATAGGATGTTCTTATGGCTAAAACCCATCAGGAAGGGTGTTGGGGAGGTGGAGGCTGGGAATGGAATGGCTTTGGGGAAGTTAAAGAGCTTAAATAAGGCTCAAGCCACGAAAAATAGGGTTTGGGCTCTAATCGCGTACACCTAACGTACTCCTACTATGCCCAACATACTCAGGATTCCATTGTACACCCAACGTACCCCCCCCCCCTGTACGCTCAACGTACTCACCTTAACCCAAAATCGTCCAAACTTCAAACGGTCATAACTTCTTCATTTCAACTCTGATTTTGACGATCTTTATATCCACAGAAAGGTATTGAGGAGATCTACAACCCCATCTAATTACTTTTGACTTTAAACACATCGAAATACAATCCATAATATATAAAAGAAGTCTGAAATACTACTTTTCCATTTTACCATTTGACTCCAAAGCACAAACTGAACTCTTGGATCCCATAATATACAATATCCACATCTAGATGGGTCTAAACCTCTTGTTACTAAAGCCTAAAGCCTTATGATACTTGATCTTCGGGTCACGACCCCGAATTATGAAACGACCCGAAATAGAGTGTTACAATTGTCGAAATCGATTCCGACTCCAATTAAATATGCTCGACTCTGTGTAAATGCGTTTGATTCTAAGAAAGTTGCTTTCGTTCCTAACTCGTTTCCAATTCGTTTCCAGGACATGAACAACAACATCTGTCGAATTCGAGTTCAACTCTAAGGATTTGACAATTCGACTCCAGTTTTGTCTTCCCTAAAGACTCGAACGAACATACATACACCATCGAAATCGACTCCAAATCATACCAGTCGCATTCGATTATTAAATAATACCGTCAACATCAATCCGATCGACTCGAACGACTCAAGCGAACACGTATACACCATCGAAATTGAAATGTATCACTCGATTTAAATTTTAACTTTTAATTTCTGCACTTTGCCTTTTGAAATTAAGAAACCTTTGCTATCAGACCCATCAATATCAGATAACCATTAGCCCTTTAACTTTCAACATCCATTTCTACATTCATCTCCCATTCACAATATCGAACTATCGAACAATCATTTTTAACTTTGGTTAATTTGTCATTCTTATGCTCCATGGAACTCCAATGTTGACTTTGAACATGTTTTGATATCATGAGATTGAATAAGCCCTTCGTTAATCAAACACTAATCAATCACACTTCTCATGACTTCAAACAAACACCTCAATTCCTTAATTCCACTACTTTTCATATCAAAATTCAACCAATTTCAAGAAAAACATTTATGTTCTTCATAAATTCTTTGACAATCTACCAAATTTTCGATTATCTTCAGCAAATTGATCACGATCAACATGTTTCAACAATCATCATCAAACCAATAGGTAGTTCAAAGAAACTTTTAATCATTGAATAAGCGAATAGACAATAAGAAATAAATCAGATCACATAATCGATGAATATTTGTATGAAACTTGTGATCAATTGATTCTAATATTGATTTGAAATTGGTATCAGATCGATTATATGAATAGCTACATGTGAAAGATCGGAAAAAAGAGATCTGAATGAGATTGAAAAACGAATTTGGATGGGATGAATTCAAGTCAATATTAGGAACAAATTTTGGTCGATGAACAGTAAACATATTAATTGATTGGGCTCAATCTGATTAAATGAACAGATATATATCGATGATTGGGCTAAAATATTAAGAATCAAATATGAACAATGACAAAGATCAAAATGTAAATGTCGATGAACAATATCAAATCACGATTTATTTGGGTTGAACAAACAATGATTGGGCTAGATTAATAAAAGATAATTGGATCATCAAAATTCAGAAATGAAAAACAAATAGATCCAATGGAATGAAACCGAGAGATTCTGAGAGATCATCGAGTAACTCACAAAAAATTGTTCATATTGTGTTGATTGTTGCCAAATTGAGAGTTGTTTCTTCAAAAATCACATCAATCTTCGAAGACCTATTGTGATACCAATTGTAGTGAATTATGAACATTTGGTTTGACATGCAGAATTGTATGAACACAACGAACATGATAATTTAGATGCTAAAAGATGTATTCGATTATAGTAATGAGTACAAAAAGAGATCTAGATCTAGTTCTACATAAATATCTCAATCACTAATCACAATAAACTACATCTCTCAAACATATTCTACTAGTGGTATCTATCCCACTATATATAAAGATGCTAGAAAGACTCTCTCTCTCTCTCTCTCTCTCTCTCTCTCTCTCTCTCATGTCATAAGGCTCCAATCCCACATGTGCAAGTGTGTATTCTCAAAGAAGCCATTACAAAGTTAATCCATGAATAACTTTGCACCTTAAGAGATTCAACCGTTTCTTTTATAAATGAATAATATGAACTTTAAGAATGATTCCATATTGTTCTACTTTTATATATTTCTCAAATTGATTATCAACTTCGATATCATGCAATTCACCATTTTGAGTTTTGGATGATATATACTTTACTATCAATCGATTTTCAACTAAACAACACTTTTATACGCTACTCCAACAAACAATATTTTTCGAATTTGATAATATTACTTTTAAAAGTTACGTGTGGAACAGTGGAAGTTCTTCTAAAAAATATCTATCAAAAAGAAAAAAAAAAAAAAAAAAAACTTTTTTGAGTTTCTCTTTCCTATTGTTTGTTATTTATTTATTTATTTATTTTTCAGGACAAGAAGCTCCGTGCTCCACTTTCTCAGAATGGGCCCCTTGGTCAATTAATATAGAAAAGACGAACAACGTCGAAAGAAGGCTTCAATGAAATTGGTCCAAAATGTAGCGGGTCTATTTAACAAACTGAATGTGCGCTTGGTCCTTTTTAGGCTTTAGCCTATGTACAACTTTCTTCTCCATAGACATGCAACTAGCCAAACTATCAAGCACACAAACTTTGATTTGCCAATTGGGGGATCCTCTGATTGAAACGTGTAAGAGAGTTTCAGACTGCTGACCACGATACACTCTTTCTTCTTCACTCTCTGCTCCACTGTTGATTCTCTTCTCGGACTGAACGCACACTGATTGTTAGTTCTGTGTTTCGATTAAGTACATTCACGAGAATCAGGTGATTTGTTTGTATGAAAGTACGACTTGATTTGGGTTTGATTCGGAGAAGAAAAGTATGAAGTCTTTGATTATCGGGTCTTTTGCTAATAAGGTTTCCGTTCATTCTCCTCCATTACCAAATTCACCTTCTGTATTCGTATCAGCAGGTATTTCATTTGCGTTTTTTACTGGATTCATTGGTTTTATCAATCTGTTGGCTCTGAAATTATTTATGCATTCAATAATGTCTCCATATGGGTTTTTGTTAAGTCTTCAGAGAAACTAGAATACCACCGACGTTTTTGTGGGCGTTTTGCCATTGATAACAAATTCGTTTTGTCGTTATTGTGCGATTTGCTTCAATCCCTTCTAATTTCCTGAAATAATTCACAAATATTGAGTTTTTCTTTTTAACATGTAAAACGAATGTCCCCTTTTTGTTACTTGTCATGAACAGGGATGTGATTTAGCTATCTGTTCATGTTGTTTCTTCTTATACTGTGTCATATTTCTTCGACTCACTTCTCATTATTCTTACACTTTATAATTTCAGGTTCTCTTCATGTATCATTAAGATCATCAAAGAGTAACAGAGTCATTAGATGTGAATCAAGTCTTGTGAGACACAATCTTAACAGTTTTAATGAAAATTTTCTATTTTCAAGAAAACGCAACACAAATCATGTTGCAAATGCAGTTTCTGAACAACCTATTGAACCTGAATCTTCAAGCCCTCAAAAACTTCTTCCAAATGCTTTTGATGCTTTCTACAGATTTTCAAGACCTCACACAGTTATAGGAACAGTAATATTCCAACTTTTGACTTTTTACAACAAGCTTTCTAGAGGGCATTCTCGTCTTTTGTACAACTTGTTTTGTTTCTTTTTCTTGTAAAAGCATGAATGACTTATGTGTCATCTTCTTAAACAGGCTTTGAGCATACTTTCAGTTTCACTCCTTGCAATTCAGAAGCTTTCAGATTTTTCTCCACTATTCTTCATTGGTGTCTTTGAGGTTCTTGAATTTTTTATATGCAAAATTGTAAAATAAAAATAATAAGTTAAATCTTCTCTGTATTCCAGATTAATTCAGTTTCTTTTTACATTCTTAACATTGAATTTTCAGGCGATTGTTGCTGCATTCTTTATGAATATATATATTGTTGGCTTGAATCAGCTATCTGATATAGAAATAGACAAGGTATGTTTTAAGAAAATCAAAAAAATTTATCTTTTTAGCAACTTCTATCAAGTTCTTTTTGTAATACTAAATACATTTCTCAGGTTAACAAGCCATATCTTCCGTTAGCATCTGGAGAATATTCTGTTAAAACTGGTGTTATCATTGTATCCTCATTTGCATTCATGGTAAATAAACTTTACCTAATTTCGTTTTGATAGAATATCTAAAGTGTGTTATTTTTATACATAACAATTTCAACTGACATTATCAATTTACTATTCTACCCCTCAGAGTTTTGGTCTTGGATGGATTGTTGGTTCATGGCCTTTATTTTGGGCACTTTTCATAAGTTTTCTTCTTGGCACTGCATATTCAGTCAATGTAAGTTGACATAATTTGAGTATTATATTAAAATTCATTATTTTTCAAATCCAAATAATTAGTGGTAAATTGGTAATTTCAGATGCCAATGTTGAGATGGAAGAGATTTGCTCTTGTGGCAGCAATGTGCATTCTAGCTGTAAGAGCTGTAATTGTTCAAATTGCATTTTATCTACACATTCAGGTAATTATTAATATTTTTTCTACCCCTTTTACACTCTAAAATATAAAACCATTTCTATTATTGTATTGTAATTCAGATACATTTTACTAATTGTTAAACACGTCTGTTCAAATTCAAATGTAATAATTTTTATGGGAGAAAGATAGTAATTCTTATCATTCTTGAAGTTTTTTAAACTATCCTCTGAAAAAGAAAGAGAAATATGATGATTGTGATATTTTTTCACTTTCATTTAATATTTTAGTTACTAATTTATTTAATTTCTAGACTTTTGTGTATGGAAGAGTTGCTGTGTTTCCAAAGCCTGTGATATTTGCTACTGGATTTATGAGTTTCTTCTCTGTTGTTATAGCATTGTTCAAGGTAAACTCCTTTATCCACTTCTAACAATTTTTTCATGCTTTTAGAAGTCAAACTTGTGGATTTTTGTTAATTTATTAAGTAAATGTTACCATTTGTGACTACTTGTTAATAATGTAAATAGAAGTTATATGATAGTAAAGAGTAAAATACAGATAAACATGTTGGACATATTTACCCTTGACTACTTTTACTTTCAACATTTTATTTTTATCAATTTAGCAATTAACCGTTTTCCTATAGTGGTTAAACACTTAAACTTAAACCATTATACCTTTTTTGAAGATTTAAAAAAAAAACATTTTTCCTTGTTACCTGATTTGGTTATAATATCAGGACAAAATACAAAAAAAAAAAAAAAAAAAAAAAAACACAACAAACAATTAACATTTTTATTGATTTAGCCACTAAGCTATTTATTTTTATTGATTTAGCATCTGAATATATATGTAATAATTTTCTATATTTTGCCATTTAGGACATATTGTCTGGATAAATGATGTTAAGGTTATGTTTGGTATACTAGCTGAAAAGCTAGCTGTTAGCTGAAAAGTTAGTTGATAGCTGAAAAGCTAGCTGATAAAAAATGTCGTTTGGTAAAACTAGTTGAAAACCTAGCTTAAAAATGTAAAATGACATAAAAGAACATTTAAAATAATGTGTTTTTAAATATTAAGTCGTTATTTCTGCATTTAGTCAAAAAGAAACATCCATATATATATATATATATATATATATATATATATATATATATATATATATATATATAAAGTAAATAAGAAAAGTACGATGATTATTGACAGGACATACCTGATATTGTTGGGGACAAGATATTTGGCATTCAGTCTTTTACAGTTCGTTTGGGTCAAAAGCGGGTTAGTGTTATTATATACCAACTACACAGTTTCAGAAATACTAATTATAGAAAAAAATTTATAATTCATATGTGAAGTGAAGTGACATGTCATCTTTTTATAGGTGTTTTGGATTTGTATCTTATTACTTGAAGTGGCTTATGGTGTTGCCATTTTAGTTGGGGCATCATCTCCTTTTCTTTGGAGCAGATACATAACGGTAATAAATCAATAATTCATAATCTTTTAATTCTTTTATAGTAAAAAATTTATGTCGCCTTTTGACTTTTGAGGTCAAACCTTTATGGATCTTGTTACAAATTTGCACCAATTTTTGTTCTGTTATGTACTACTTGTCGTGGGGTTTATTTCAAGTTTCTATTAAATCTTTGTTTGTTTGCGTTGACCACTTGACCTAAAAGTCAAAGATGGTAGTTCTATTGAATAAAAATATTAATTTTTATTTTTTAAAATATTTGTAGGTTATGGGCCATGCGATACTTGGTCTAATGTTATGGGGTCGTGCTAAGTCAACTGATCTAGAGAGCAAAACAGCAATAACCTCATTTTACATGTTCATATGGCAGGTAAATGTTTTAACTAACTCAACAAAAGTTTTTCCAGTTATGCAAAAACAGTTTGTTTTTTCTCAATTTATGCAACAAAGTGTTCTTTTTATATGCACTATACAATAACTCGATAACATTTCATTTTATGACAAAAGAATGCAATATATTGTATTGGTAAGGGTTTTAATCGGTTGAAGCGTGGTTACATAATTCGTGTCAGTTGTATAAATCGATAAAAAATGTGAAACATTGTTGCATAAATCGGTGAAAAACTTAAACATTGTTGCATAAATTGGTAAAAATATGAAACATTGTTGCATATTTTGGGCAACAACTTTTATTTTGAGTGATTAACTTTTGGAACCATTTTATGCAACTTCTTCCAAACAAAACTTCATTTTTTTTTAAAAAGGCTAAATGCAACAATTGGCAATGTACTTTAGTGAATTTTCTATAATAGCATCTTATTTCTTTGTTTACAAAAGGAGTTTTGACCTTTTTAACCATCAAAGTATCAAAATTGACAGTATTTAGCCACTGAAGATCTGATCACGCTAAATTGTACCCTAAACTTTCATTTTTGGCTCAATTTGCCCCCTCCGACCTGCCCAGTTACCTGGTTCCCTGCCTACGTGACATGCTAAAATAGACCTTGAACTTCTATTCATGCTAAATTAGACCCCGGACTTAGAATTTATTTATTTATTTATTTTATTTATTTATTTTTTATTTATTTATTTTTAATTAAAACTAAACTCGGTTTTATGTTCTTTTTGAAGTTCTTTATTTTCATATTTTTGATTTTTTAGTCAAAACTAAGAGTAAATTACACAAATGGTCCCTATGGTTTAGGGTAATTTGCGCGTTTGGTCATTATCTTATTTTTTAGGGTAATTTGTGTGTTTGTTTTTGTTACACGTTTGGTCCCTATCTTATCTAAAAAACTATTTTACCCTTGATTTTTCAATTTATTTAAATAAACACACACCTAACCCCACACCCCTCACCTTATCTTACCTATCTCACCATTTTTCCCTATTTAAATAATAGTTTTTTAGGTTAAATAGGGACCGAGCGCGTAACAAAAACTAACAGTAGGGACTTTCCGAGTTAAAAAAATAAGTTAGGGACCAAACATGCAAATTACCCCAAACCATAGGGACCATTCGTGTAATTTACTCCAAAACTAAATTTGGTTTAAAATTTTTTTTTCGTATTTTTTCTGTATTTTTAAAATTTTTATTTTATTTATTTTTCATCAATTTGATAACTTTTTTTGACCTTTTTCAAAAAGTGTAAAGTGAGTGAATATACTAGAGTATTTACATTTTCGGCGTTTGAGGTTTTTTTTTTTTTTTTTTTTTTTTTTTTTAAATTTTGATTCAATGTGTGAGATTTACGATTTATAATTATTAAAATAGGAAAACTAGTTAAACTTATTAAAATGTAACTTGCAAATTAAATGATATTTCTTTATGTGATATCAGTAGTTTAAATTCAAGATAATATTTTTCAATATGATAATAGACTACAATAAAGAATAAAAAAAATAATAAAGTCCGACTCTATACAAAAACTTGTTTCAATATTTTAAATTGATATTTTTTTTCATTTACTTGATTCAAAATAAATAAAAGACATCGGAAAAATCATAAATAACTAAAATTATAAAAACAAAATAGAAAACAAAAGGTCAAAGAAAAAAGGTTATCAAATTGATGTAAAATAATACGAAAAAATGAAAAAAAAAAACAAAAAAGAAATTAATACCAAGTTTTGTTTCGACTCAAAAGAAAATGAAAATAAAAAAACTTAAAAAAAAACATTAAACCAAGTTTAATTTTATAAAAAAAAAAATCATAGTTCTAGGTCTAATTTAGCATGAATAGAAGTTCAGGATCTAATTTAGCATGAACCGGGTATCCAGCTACAGGTCGCAGGGGGCAAATCGAGCCAAAAATCAGAGTTTAGGGTCCAATTTAGCTTCAATGGCTAAATAGATTCAATTTTGATGCTTCAATGGTCAAAAAAGTTAAAACTCCTTTACAAAATAGTACTTTGAAAATTTTTAATGCAATTCAAATACAAAGCAATTAGTTTCACTGCTATAATTAGGTAATTTAAATTCAAGGTACAATGCTATAAATAGGTAGATATTTCAAAGTACAATTTTTGAATAAGAATAAAAATGGTAAATTACACGGATGGTCCCTGTGGTTTAGGGTAATCTGCGTGCTTGGTCCTTAACAACTTTTTTTTAACTCAGACCGTCTCTACTTTATATTTTTATTGCACGCTTGGTCCCTTATTGACTTGAAATAACCGTATTACCCTTTTTTATATCATTAATCACGTTTTATGTTTATGTTAAATTAAAAAAAAACATTAATTAAAAATAACATGGTCCCACCATCCCAATACAAATTATCCTTATAGGTTATCACCGACCACTTAACCACCTGCAACACCACCACAACCGTCGGTTTCCCAAACCACAGGGACCATTTGTGTAATTTACCAAAAAAAAAATAACAATAGAATCATGTAATTGAAAAAATGAAAATAAGATGCTATAATTCAATAAGTGGAAGTATATTGCTATTTCTTGTATTATGGTTATCTTTGCGCATTCTTTATAGTTCCCATTATTCATTGGATAAAACCGTTATTTGTGTTTGCAGTTGTTTTATGCGGAGTACTTGCTCATACCGCTTGTGAGGTGATGTGCAACTGCATTGATGTGGGGCCCACTCTTGTTGTTTATTTATTGTTATAGTTTTGCCATCATTCCGGCTCAAAATGGCAGAGGAGCTAGGGTTAGGGTTAGATTTTTGAGACTTGTAAGTTGTAACATTTGACTTTATTTTATGTTGTGGAGATTTTTTTTTTTTTTTTTTTTTTTTTTTTTTTTTTTTTTGTGTATTTGTATTCTTTTATGGCAAAAATCGTGTTTTGTTAGTTGTGATTAAGTTGTTCTTTTGACTTTATGGCTGGAATAGTGACATATCTATTAAGTGTTTTTATTTAATGAAGAAATAACGATTTAACCGTATAAATTAGAAAAATGTTATGATGAAGTAGTATATCAATATTGGTGGTTCGTAGACATTGGTGAAGGGGAAAGGTTGGGGTGGGCCAATGCAATTTAAGAACCTAGACCATGTCGACTCTATTTTCCAAATCAAGAAAGAAAAATCTAGTAAATATCTTTCTCTATTATTTACTAATAAAATAATAAATATTAACATGATATTTGTAATTTAAGTAATACTCTTTCCATCTCAAAATTATTGTTTACAGATAAAAAAACACACAGATTAAAGAAAACATTAATTACCATTAATTTTATACAATAAAATAAAAGTTTTGTTCTTACTTTGCATTTAATGTTTTATTAAATGTTTAGTTGATTAATCAATAAGGATGGGATATTTTGATAAAAATATTACTTATTTTTAGAAATAGATTATTATTTTGGAACAAACCAAAAATAAAAGATGGACTATAATTTTGAAACGGAGGTAATAATACAAAATTGTTAGTTTATATTTAATACAAAAAAATGTTTAAACATAAACCTGTTTATAACATTTATAATCAATTTTATATATGAATATATATTTAAGTGCATCGTTTTTTGCATTAGCATTAATAAAATGATAGTTTTGTTATTACTTTGCATTTAATGTTCCATTAAAGACTTAGTTAGTTAATTAATAATGAGGGGATATTAAGTTCATACATATTGATCTCATAGTCGATTTAGTCTCTATATTTATTTTTTTATTCAATTAAGTCCCAAATACCAGTAATCGTATTCAATTTAACCCTTTGACCCGGTCAACAGATCATCCAACTTTCAAAAATTACATTTTTGGCCCAGATTTCAAAATTTATTACAAATTTGGTCCAAAATTTACACTTTTAGCCTTGATTTTAAATTTTGTTACAAATTTGCTCCAAACTTTACTATTTTGCATAAATTTTAGAATTTTATTATGCATTCATCCTAACTTTAGTTTTTATTACAACGTTTTTTCTCGAAAAATTGTTTCTAATATGTATTTTCACATAAAAATCTTATATTTTCTATATAAAAAACTTTTGTGTATATGAAGTATCTAGTTATAAAAATATATATTTATTAAGTATATAAATATATATAAATCCGTTTTTATAAAAAATGTATACAAACACCTATCACCTTTATATATATATATATAATATATATATATATATATATATATATATATATATATATATAGGTTTGTATCTATATTTTTTTATAAAATCGTGTTTGTTTATATTTTTTTTTATAAAAACGTGTTTGGCTAATTTTATAAATAATACTTTTTTGTATACATTTTATAAAATCGTGTGTGTATACATTTTATAAAAGCGTGTTTAAATAATTTTTTATATAATACGTGTTTATATATATTTTATAAAATCGTGTTTGTATACATTGTATACAAACACGTATTATATAAAATTTATTCGAACAAGTTTTTATAAAAAAATGTAAACAAACACGATTTTATAAAAAAATATAGATAAAATAGGTGTTTGTATGCATCTTTTTGGTAAAATACGTTTTTGTATACATTTTTATAGAAACAGATTTGTATATATTTATATACTTAATAAATATTTATTTTTAAAACTAGATATTTCATATAAAAAAGCTTTTTAAAAAAAGTTTTTATATAGAAAAATATAAGATTTTTAAGTGAAAATACATTTTTTTGTATAAATATGATTTTATAAAGAAAAAACATATTAGAAACAACTATTTGAGAAAAAAAAAGCTGTAAAAAAAACTAAAGTTAGGATGAATTCATAATAAAATTCTAAAATTTGGACAAAAAGGATAAAGTTTGGACCAAATTTATAACAAAATTTAAAATCAGTGCCAAAAGTGTAAATTTTGGATCAAATTTGTAATAAAATTTTGAAATCTGGGCCAAAAATATAATTTTTGAAAGTTGGATGATCTGTTGACCGGGTCAAAGCGTTAAATTGAATACGATTACCGGTATTTGAGACTTAATTGAATAAAAATATATATATATATATATATATATGAACTAAATCGATTATGATGCCAATATGTACGGACTTTATTGCAGTTTTTCCAAAAAATATTTAAGCATAAACCTGTTTATAACATTTATAATCGATATATATATATATATATATATATATATATATATATATATATATATATATATATATATATATATATATATATATATAGAAGTGCATCATTTTTGCACTGACTTTATATAATAAAATGTTAGTTTTGTCATTACTTTGCATTTGATATTCCATTAAATGCTTAGTTGGTTAAGTAATAATGATGAGATATTTTAGTAAAAATGTTATTTGTTTTTAGAAATTGACAATTATTTTGGGAAAAAAAAAAGATGAACTATAATTTTGGGACAGTTGGAGTAATACAAAATTGTTAGTTTATATTTAATACCAAAAAATGTTTAAACATAAACCTGTTTATAACATTTATAATCGATTTTATATATGAATATATATATATATATATATATATATATATATATATATATATATATATTTAAGTGCATCGTTTTTGTACTGACTTTATATAATAAAATGACAGTTTTGTCATTAATTTGCATTTAATGTTCCATAAAATGCTTAGTTGGTTAAGTAATAATGAGAGATATTTTGGTAAAAATGTTATTTATTTGTAGAAACTAACTATTATTTTGAAACAAACCAAAAATGAAAGATGGATTATAATTTTGGGATGATGGGAATAATACAAAATTGTTAGTTTATATTTAATACAAAAAATGCTTAAACATAAACCTCTTTATATATTTATAATCTATTTTATATATGAATATATATTTAAGTGCATCGTTTTTGCACATAAACACTAATATATTGTAAAATAGTATAAGCTAATTACATGTATGGCCCACTTGCTTTTGGAAGTAAAATTGTGGATTTAGAAAGATGTTGATGGCATTGCTAATCCTATGTCACGTGAAAGAAGGAAGGTTTGCAAGATATATATTAGAAGTGATGTAGATGCTCTAACATACAGGGAGGTATGTTTGACTTTTCTTTACAAAAAAATATGTAAAAAATGGGATTTTACATGAATTTTGCAATCAACATTTTAAAATGTCAATCAGCTAAAATATAGATATATACTTCATGACAAAAACATTAATTATGTCGACACATATTGCCATGCTATCCATTGTTTTCAGGATATATGAGACGACTCTATTGGCTTCGACTATCTTATACGACCCCTTTCAATATGGACATGATTTTCCTTCATCCATTTGTCTGTTTTCCTTCATTTTTTTTCTTAATATCAGTTCCCCTACTTTGAAAGAGTAGTTTGGGACCCTCTGGCTGTAGTAGTTTTTTTGTTGGTATAGTGTGCTTGTCGGATGGAGTATATATATTTTCTTTCACCTAGTAAATCCACGTTGGTCTGGATGTCTTCTTCATTTTCCTTAGTTTTTGGATTATTATCAACCTGCTATGTGGGCATGAATACTTTTGGTGGAATCACTGCTTTAGATCCGTATTCCAGGCTTGAACGATGTATCCAGTGTTCTGATTGTTGTCATGTAGGCCTATAATACATTGGATGGTTCTTTCACCCATCATCCCCGCGTGTATTTATATACTACTTTATGGAAAATTACCAACTATATCGACCCCCCATTGCTTGAAAGGAAAATGACTTGATATGCTTACCAAGGTAGTTGCGGATAATTTTGAAATTGTTTCATGTTCTTCACATTTTTCACATTTTGGCATTGCTTGCTCGGCATCGCAATACATTGTTGGCCACTAGTTTGAAGTTTCTCAACCTTGCTATTTTTATACGATCATAATTCGTCCTACATGGCTCCCCTTATCCCTTCACATGTTTCTATTATTATGTATTCCAATTGCTTCTTGTTTAAGCATATGAGTCAAGGTGATAAGTATCCCTTTCTGTACATTTTCCATTACGGATGGTATACTTCGATGCTTTGATCTATATCTTTCTTGCTTCCTTCTTGTCTTTTGGCAATATGCCTTTTGTAAGGTACTCAGATTATAAGGGTCATCCAACTTCCTTGTCCTTTATCTATATCATGTATTTCATTTTTGTCGATGCTTTTTGTAACCGTTGAAAATAAGATCTAATAGACACGTAAGGAAACCAAAAAATAATATTGAGAATTATATGTCGATTAATTGTGATAAATAAATCTAATTATTATTATAATTATCAAGTTTCGTCCAACCTGTTGACAACTGATCTTGATCGTAGAATAACTGCACGGATCGAACTCCTGTCCTTAAAAGTTTTTACTTTGCTTCTATTGGTAGTAAGCAAGAGAGTAAAATCCCAAGATTTAACAACAATAGAAAATGATAAACGCAAAGTGAATACCGAGAAACCAGGAAGAAATCATAGAGAGAATGAGAGAGCTTTCATTTTTTGTGAGTATCAAATACGGCTCCTAGGAGCTATATTTATAGGCATCGACACCCTAGAAGGCAGAAAATGGTCCACATAGGCCGGCCCCTGGAAATCCTAGGGCAACGACTTGCTCTCCCAGCAAGTCGTTTTCTGGGCCTTCCAAAATATTCCGACTTGATCTCCATGAAGTCAACGACGGTCAACCATTTGACGGGATCAGTCAAACCGACTTGAGCCGAACTCGTCAAAAATAAAATCTTCTCAGCTCTCAATGACCAATGTGAAGTGCGAAGTGCACCTAAATCGTGCCATTTCACGTACTAGCGGCAACGGCTAGTGTTAGGCTACACTAGGCGCGCACGTAGGCTTGGCCCATTCCTTTGATCCACTAAAGCCTTTGAAG